TAATCGAATTCCAGACTACGGACGCATATTCAAGTTTAGACCTAACTAACGTAGTGTACAAACTGAACATACAGTCTAGCGAAGAGAAATTGTAGGTAATGTTACGAACTAGACCCAATAGTTTCGCACATTGAGAGAAAATGTAATTGACCTGGTCATGGAAATATAGCTTAGCATCAATAAACACTCCCAGGTCTTTTACAGAATCGGTCCGGGCTACTGACGTTTGAAAAAGTTTATAATCGTAGATAAGTAGGTTGGTTTTCCTGGAGAAGGATATAAATAATAATAATACAATGTAAAACGATCAATGGTTTTCTAGCCTGATACTCTCTGGTCACCTATTTGAATGCAACACACTGGCTGTGGGCACAGTAATAAAAGAGTTACAAAAACATACATTTTCAGTGATACTGAAGACCCAATGCAGCCACACACCACATAGTGCCATCACCCAGAAACACCATCCGCATCACTGAATTGCATGAAACTGGCATGCTGAGGTTCCGCATTTTTTAAAAAATGTCATTAGATGGTTTCAAAAAACTTTCAACTTAAATGTCACATACTAACTCTATCAGATTTATTGTCAGTCACGAACTTACAGTAATGACTAGGAAAACTGAACAAAAAGGGATACCTTAAAAAAAAAACTCACTAACATATAAGATGCATACCAGGTTAGAGTGAAGTAAAATGTAGACCTGTAACATATTTATATACAATTTTTCTTTAAATAAAATTGTTACTATTAGGGAACACATAAATTCCATATACAAACAAAATACCTTCAAGATTTATTTTTAGTGTTACCAAACCAGTCCAGTTAAAACAGAGTGTGGATTATGTTCAAACATAACTTCCATCTGATCAGCAGGAATAATTACATGTTTACCAGAAAATGTAATCCAAAAATGATTAAATGTAGAACTATGTATCATGTCATCAACACTAGGCTCAACAATCATTGAGGTAATGGGTGCTAACACCCACCAAATTTTCAACAGGAAGGCCCATCACATGCTATACAAGCTTTTGTACTACTAATGCCCTCTGCTGTCTCCTGTGTTCCTTTACAATCCTACATATTATCAAATGATACACCACCAAGGCCAATATTTCACACCATCTTCCATGAATAACACAGTCAATTGCAAAGTGTCTTCTTTACACAGTGAACTACCTGTACATTTCATATATCCACATTAGAATACTATCAGCATTCAGAGAATTAGCATGATATATGTACTTTAACAAGTGCTCATTTTTTCATGACCTACCACATAACTTATGGTTTTTTTATTGCTAGTGAGGTGTGACTAAGTTCCTTGTACTGTGGCCACTTCTGCCTTATTGTACCAGCCCCAGATGATAGGTGAGGGTGATTGTGGGGCAATTGGTGGAATGAAGATTGGCAGGGGAAACTGAAGTACTGGGAGAAAACATGCCCCAGCGCCACTTTGTCCACCATAAATCCCACTTGACCAGACCTGGGATCGAACCCGGGCTGCCACGGTGGGAAGCCAGTGACTAACCGCTTGAGCTATGGCGTGGCCCTCATAACTTATGTTAATGCAACCAGTTAACGCTCTATAATTTGTTGCTATGGTAATGCAAATTTGTTTTCACAGCTCTGGTCTCACCAATGCATTACTTATACATGCATAGGACTACATAAAAGTGTGAAATAACTAAATAACTTACCTGGGCCAGGAAATGTTATCTGGACTTGATTGAACATTTCCCGAATTTCACGGATATTGTCTCCTTTACTACCAATGATAGTTCTGTAGAAGCGATGATCTATGATGATATCCCTCTCCTTTTCATTTTCCAATTTATGAACCATATCTTCGAGTTCCTGCAACAAGCAAGAATTCTGATTGGATTTTTTTTTGCACTTCCTATTAAATATTTAGCTATCTCAGAAGAATTATTAAACATGAACAGCTGTAGCATTTAACACAAAATGGGGTACGTATACATATAAGCAGTATGAATTCAAATGGGAAGGGTTGGTGCTTTTGTTGACCTTATAGATAATGTCCCTGGGCTTAATTAATTAAGCACCATGCCACAAAATTGTATACTGCAGTGGAGGTATAGCACCACTTTTTTTACCTCAAAACTAGATGGAGAAGAATGATCAGTTCATGATCCCTTCCAACACTTTACCTCTGGAGAAACAAGCCCCAGTACTCACTGTACAGGAGAAGTGGGCCCCAGAGTAAATCTGGGTGTCATACAGAAAAGAATCTCTTGTCCCTGCTAGGAATCAAATCTGATTCATCGGTCATCCAGCCTACAGCTCAGTCACTATACCAACTGAGCTATCTACTGATCTTATAGTACTGCAACATGATTCACCACTTCACTGTGAAACAGAAACATCCCCATAGCAAAATTTATATTCAGGACTTCAAATATCTGATTGAAACAGTGAACAATACAGTGACAATATATACAGAACATCATATACAACAAAACAGATGAACAGACCATAATACAAGGGAGAGTCAGTAAACAGGTCACAAATGGAAGTAAAACAGCTGGAATGGACATATTTTCTTTTTATTGCCAGTGGGGAGGGACTAAGTCCCTTGTACTGCAGCCACTTCTGGCCTATTGTACCAGCCCCAGATGATAGGTGAGGGTGATTGTGGAACTGGTGGAATGAAGATTGGAGAAAACCTGCCCCAGCGCCACTTTGTCCACCACAAATCCCACCTGACCAGACCCAGGATCAAACCCAGGCCGCCACGGTGGGAAGCAATGACTAGCCACTTGAGGTATGGCACAAACTGGAATGGACATAAGCAAGTTCTCTATGTGTATCATTATGTAGAAGCACCCCAGCTTCATGACACTGTAGGTAGCAGACACATGTTCATGTTCAGAGGCTGGTTTCAGTAGTCAAAATGGCAACTGTGCTTGAGGAGTGTACTAACAAAGACTCTGTGGGAAAAGGACTCAATGCAAAGAATATTCATAAAGAAATGTTCCCTATTTATAGTGGGAAGTGTCTGTCATGTAAAGCGCTTCATAACTGGGTGGCAAACGTTTCACTAATAAGAGGCTGAAATGCAGGGCCAGAAGTAGCTGAGACAACAGTCAAAAGATTTCTATGCTGTGGGTTTCAACACACTGGTAAAGTAATGGGACAAAAGTATCAATGTTGGTGAGGATATGTCAAGAAATAAATGATTTCTTTCCAGGTTTGAATATCACATATTTTACTGCATTTATGACCTAGTTAGTAACTCCCTCATACCTGCTTTGCCTTTTCCACGCCAGCTTTGATGCCTTCGATACGAATTAGGTTGCTACTATCATTTTCTGCGATGTTAATTACCACTCCAAGTTCATCTTTCATCCGATTAACATTAGCACCATTTTTTCCAATGATGTGTTTGTAGTACTTTGGATCAACTGTCATCTCCACAAATGTTAACTTCGATATCAGGTCTCTTGCCATATCTTCTAAAGAAGCCTGAGCTCTCTCTACTTCCTCTGGCGGTCCTTCAATCTTAATTCTGTCCTCCTTGTCAGTGAATTCAACGTGCACCTAGAAATATCACAATTAGAAGGAAACTATAACATTTCTTACAATATTGACTCCACAGCCATTTAACAGCACATCATCAGCCTGAAATTTTGTAAGGCATTACTTACTGATAGTGAAGTACTGAAGAACTCATACTCATACAAGCAGATTAATTATCGTCTGCCTGTAGGCAGTTACCGACAGTACAGAAGCATATGCTTTGTGACCTCCAGTATCATAAAAGAGCTTCTTTCCATACCATTATACGTGGTACAGTCATCAAGTTCGTGGACTGTGGTTTTATCGCATCATATTACAAGGTATTTACATACAAGGGTGAGTCAAATGAAAAACATAAATTTTTTTTAAAATGTAATTTACTGAATGAAAGCGGTACAAAACTATATCATTTTTCTAGTCTCCATTCATGCACGGCCTGCTGTACCTCTTCATCAGAATGGAACTTCTTTCCTCCCACGCCTCTCTGAGTGGCCCAAATATGTGGTAATCACTTGGGGCTAGGTCTGGTGAGTATGGCCAATGTGGAAGACGCTCAAAGTGCAAGTCTTGGATTTTGCAACTGCTGCACAGGCAGTATAGGGACAAGCATTGTCATGTTGCAAAAGGACACCTCTAGTCAAAAGTCCACGTCACTTTGATCTGACTGTAGGTCGAATATGATTCTTCAAAGAGATCTGAATATGAGGCACTGGTGATAGTGTTTCCCCTAGGCATGTAGTGCTCCAAGAGTACGCCTCATTTGTCCCAAAAGAGAGTCAGTATAATCTTCCCTGCAGATGGCTGCGTCTGGAACTTCTTGATTTTTGGTGATGTGGAATGATGCCATTCCTTGCTTGTTCTCTGTTTCCGGTTGATGGTGGTGCACCCAAATTTCATCGCCAGTAATGATTCTCGAAAGGAAGCCATCACCTTCTGCTTCAAGGCACCGCAGAAGTTCTTCACAGGCATCAACACATCATTGTTTCAATTCTGGAGTCAGCTGCCATGGCACACACTTTGCAGACACTTTGTGAAACTGGAGCACATCATGAATGACATGGTGTGCTGATATGACTCCTGTTAAGAATTTCAGCTATTTCATCCACCGACACTTAGCAATTCTCCATCACTAGGGCTTCAACTGCTGCAATAAACTCAGGGGTCACAACTCTGTGCGCCTGACCTGGGCGAGGAGAGTCTGCCACAGATGTCACACCATTTCTGAATTTCCTACTTCACTCATACATTTGCTGCTGTGACAAGCATGCATCATCATACTGAACCTTCATCCATCAATGAACTTCAATCAGATTCACACCTTCACAGATCAAAAAACGAATTACAGAACATTGTTCTTTCATACATGTACGTAGTGGAGCAGCCATCTTCAAACCGGCACTGTGATGGTGTTCTATTTGTCTGCATAATACTGCCACCTATAAGGTACTCTTTATAGCATTAGTAACATGTATGCCAACTTATAGGACAATGGCACAATATTTCGAATTTTTATCTGTTTTACAGTTTTCATTCGACTCACCTATGTACACTTACACAGATCCAAATCGGCCCACAAAATAGTCGCCATTGGCCACTATGCAAGTCTGCCAACGTTGATATAGCCGCCAAAAATACTGCTGAAACATATTGGCAGGAAATTCCCGTATGGCGTCTCTTGTGGCATTGACAACCTCCTCGGATGACTGAAATCTACGACCACGTAGCTTTGCTTTCAAGCGGTGAAAGAGAAAGAAATCGCACGGTGCGAGATCAGGTGAGTACGGAGGGTGTGGTAAATGGTGACCTGTTGCTTTGCCAGTTCCTCTTGGACAAGAACAGAGCGATGTGCAGGGGTGTTGTCATGTAGCAACAGCCAATTCTTCCTAAAGATCAGGATGCTTATGATGAATTGAATCGCGTAAACGGATAAGGATCTCCTTGTACCTGTCCTTGATTACAGTCGCTACATGTTGGATAAATTCCATGTGAACAATTCCTGACACGGCGAAAAACAGTTCAAGCATCACCTTGCCTTTTCACCTGTCCTGTCACGGTTTCTTCTTTCTTGGCGATGATGGAGATTTGCAGGTGGCTTATTGTCACTTCAGTTGCGGATCATAAAGAAAACAACATGTTTCATCTCCTGTAATGATCCGGTTGAGAAACGTCTCATCTTCGTCAGCACTACTGATCAGATCACCACAAATGGTCACGTGATCATCATGTTGGTCTTGCGTCAGGATGCGTGGAACACAGTGCTCGGTAACACATTACATGTTCAGGTCATCAGTGAGAATTTTGTGGCACGTACCAGAGCTTGTCCCTACTGCTGCTGCGATATCATCTATCGATTGAGAGCGGCTGGCATGTACTAACGTTGTAACTTCTTGAACCTTGCATTCAGTTCTGACTGCTTTTGGCCAACCACTACACTCATCATCCTCCAAACTGTCTCTCCCCTGCGCAAAACGTTGGTCCCACTTAAACACGGCACTGCAGCCCAAAGCTTCTTCGCCATATACTTGCTTCATCATGTTAAAAATTTCACTATAGTTTTTGGCAGAACTTGCCCATTCTTCAAACTGCCACATTTTCAATTTACGCCACTCATATGTAACTGCAGTTCACAATAGAGGCCGTAGTTCTGCTTACACTGTTTGCACACCACTGCCTTTTGCTGTGATGAGAGGGGAACTGACAGGGCAACATATTGTGCCTCAACTGTAGTGCACTGCAATGATACTTTGCAGTCAGTCCACGAACTTATTGACTGCGACATGTACTGAGAACAAGGTAGGAAATATATGAATAGTGTAACAATTCTAACAAGTTCCCTCACTTCTATTTACTTGTACCAGTCACAAAAAGTGCACAATTTTTCTCTGTAAAATCCATTCAAAACATTTTCACTCAGAAAAATATTCACAAAGTTATACTCGAGATGGAAACAAAATACGTACAAGGATCTTTCATTACCATCTGATTTTCACCAAAACTGGAAAGTGTTAATAAATATTTAGAAAGTTATACTCAAGATAGAAGCAAAATACTTGCAAGGATCTCTTACTACTGTCTGATTTTGACCAAATTGGAAATGTTTTGATAAATGTCAGTAAATCTCTAGAAAATCAAACTTCATGAATGTCCATACAGTAGATCTTCAGTTATATGCAGAGAGAATGACAGACATGGTAATGCTTTCAGCATATTTTTACAATTTTTTTAAATGAATATTTCGAACAGAATAAATACTTCAATACCACCAAACTGTTTCTTTTAAACATTCATACTCTTTTATACCATATAAAATTATAAGTTGGGGCCAGAATACAGACACGTAATTCAACCATTATCAGATATTAAAGTACTTGTTAGAACTAGTATATTTAAGGATTTTATAAATTTTCACTACACTGAGGTTGCACTGCAGCATGACTGAATTATAGCACATTATAAAATTTGGTATTTACTATATACGAATGATTTTAATATTAAAATACCTTTGTTAGGTCTTGTGTGAAGCGACGTATGTTGGCACCCTTACGCCCAATGATGTACTTGTGAATCCAATTTGGAGCATCCACAGTAGCTGTGATAACACTATGTGCCTTCTCATACACCATGTTCAGGGCTAAATTCACAAATGAATANCACAGATCTGATACTTTCCCCCTCCCATTGGTTTTTGAAGGTCAAAAATAGCGTTTTTCCCAAAATCGATAGGTAAGTTTCAAGTTTAATTACACCTACAGAAAGTGAGCTGAGTAAAAACTTGTAATAATATGATTTGTAGTCCATATCATGAGGAACAAATAGCGTTTTTATTGGAGTCTGTAGCTTCAATAGTTATCGAGATATGGAAGATAACGCAAACCTCCATTTCAGCCGAAAACGCGTTTTTTCGCATTATAAAAACGCCTGTACCGAGAGAACTGAGCGGATTAGAATTTTTTTAAAAATTTTTTTGTAGTATGAAAATATGTATAAATAAGTGTACAAAATATAATTTTTTTTAAAAATGGTGAGCGACCTTTCTGGATGATTTCACATGGAATGACCCTATATACGAATGATTTTAATATTAAAATACCTTTGTTAGGTCTTGTGTGAAGCGACGTATGTTGGCACCCTTACGCCCAATGATGTACTTGTGAATCCAATTTGGAGCATCCACAGTAGCTGTGATAACACTATGTGCCTTCTCATACACCATGTTCAGGGCTAAATTCACAAATGAATATATCTTCATATTCATAGTAATAAAATTCCACATATGACAAGATTAGTACATCCCAGTTTGGTCCTACTGACTTTCCTGGTTTATGCAGTGGAGACTTCTATGACACACACTCAGCTACAACTTATTTTTAGGCAATGATGTGAATTATGGCTGGCAGAGGTGACTTCCACATTAATATGGGTTCTGATCCTTGACACTGACCTGGTATTCCATTCCACTCATCAGAAGGGAAGATAAATACATGTAGAAATATCTACACTGGATATGGCCTGTACACAAATCTTAGATTTCTGGCACACAATTCTGGTGCCTTACCAAGAGACCTCTACAGTTTTAAGTATAATTTAAACTTTTATTTCACTAGCATATTTCATGCAATGATTTGTAGTATTATGCAAATATCACATCATAGATACAATCTCTAACTTGACCTAATATAACAATTTTTATCTTAATCCTTTATCTAAATCCCTAACTTTGACCAGCACATCAATTATCATTAACACGATTTTCACAAGACACGGCAAAGAACAGTTTCTCTGGTTGTGAAATGTCTGGAAAGTATTTAATGCACAATTATATCTGATGAAGCATTTCAGTCAACTGTTCCTCAGTCTTTACTCTCAATGCAATAAAAATGAATATGAAGAATTTATTTCAGCCGACATGAATAAATACTCACCAAGACCAAGCTTGTCATGAGGACCTCTAAGGGTGATAGTGCCTTTACTAGAGTCATTAGGAGGCATCTCTACACTGACTCCGGTAGTTTGCAAGATTTCTGCAATGGTGTTGCCACGGTGACCAATCACATGCTTGTGTTGTGACTTTGGAACTTCTACTGACACAATCGTGCATTTCTTCTCCTATAATAATAGAAGATACTGTTACATAAGTTATAAGACTAAGCTACATTTGTATCAACAGGAAATCTATTGTAACTGTTCATCATAATTTGCCAGACACTTTCATATTAATTAAAATTGTATTAACTTAAGACCATGTAATCTATAAACAATGATCCAGCAGATAGCCACATTTCTACATTGAGAAGTGTAAATAGTTCAAGTTTTGCTATGTGGACAAGAAGTAACATCTGGTACATTTCCTGGAATTCTGGCAATTTCAGCAGAGTTGGAAGGTCTCTGGGAATTTGAGACCTGACAGTTTGGAACAGCTATAACTTAGAAGAAGGAGTGCCTGAGCCTCATCCCCCTGATCTTACTGATATGTTGGGATTTTGGACTTTATCCATCATCCTGGTTTTTAAGATAACAAATAAAAACACGACATTGACATTTCAGAAACTGGATCTGTTTCCATCCTCAGGTGAAGNGGAAAACACCTATTCAGTTGGGTCCCTTAGAAAGAGCTAGCCTCAATCACTGGACAAACCAATGTCACAAAACATGAAGATTATAAACACCTGAGACCAGGCTAAGTCCATGAGAGCTAATAAGAAAAAATATTCATGACAAATTGTAGCAAACACTTACAAGCGTGGAACCAGGATAGATAGATCTGTAGAAATTTATGCCACGAAACTAAACTCATAACCAGGTCCATGACCCCACGGCATGGAATAGAAAGAAGAACTAGTAACAAAAACTAATAGTGTTAAACCAGGGTCAACAATGGAGTAAATCACGTCTATCTAATTTAGAACTTAATAGAAATAAATAAAAGCATATATCACATCATACAGCTCTTCTATGTGAATTGGTGACTTCATTGCTGATAATGGGGATCCAAATGGGAGAAAAGTCCAAACTGGGTTGGCTAATTGGGTTGGCCGAGCATGCCATATGGGCCGCTTCCAGGAACACAGTGCAGGTGAGCCGCAGCACAGGGAAAGGAAGGGATACAGGTGAAGGCAGTTATAAGTGACGTCAAGTCGGGCAAAAGACAGTCACGAGTGGCAACCAACACATGGTGTAAGTTTCAACCAAAGGGAAAACAGTTATACTATATGACTCAGTATCTGATATTCTACTTCCATGGTTCCCAAAGAAAACTCACCATTTCTTGATAGATGCTGAGAATCCGCTCTTTGGCTGTCATCACTCCTTCCTTTTCTCCTGTAATAATGATTTCATCTTTCTGCACTGAAAGAGGAGGGATGTTGATTCTTACCCCCGTCTCATTCATGAGGGCTGTCACCTTCTCATTATGTGCTCCACAGATAAATGGATGGTACATCTTTGGCACAGAGATGCGCTCATACGCCTGCTTTGACTGAAGGCATACAAATAAGTGGATGGTACATTTTTGGCAGACTCATGTTCACATGCCTGCTTGGTCTGAACATAAGAGTCAGCCAGCACATAATGCGTAAGTTCACTTCAACGTAACTGTTCAACAACTTTCTGGGCTATAAATCATAGAGAAACTGGATGAAATTCGGGCTAGGTTTTAACATTCTTTTGACTATAAAAACAGTGAGCATTTCCAGTGTTTGCTGTAACCTGGGTAAATTTTATATGTAATGTGTTTAGATTGTTCTCACATCATAACATTCACAAATTTATTTTGACACCTCTAGATGGAAGACTCATAATCAAATTCAGCATATTTTCAAAGGACACAGCACTTAAGTGTGCTTGATGTCCAGTTGTTCAGGGGAGCAGACTGTGATACCAGTATCTAGTCATTGCAAAAGTAAAGGAAAGACTGGCAGTAAATAACCAGACAACACACAGATTTCATATGGAGAAGTTCAGTCTCAAGAAATTGAAGGAGGCAGAAGGCATCTCAGCTTTGGAAAACTAAACACACTGAGGTGGATATTAGAAGAGCTTGGGAAATTATCAGAGGGAACATCAAAATTTCATCCAAAAAGAGTCTAGGTTATTATGAACTGAAAAAGCACAAGCCATGGTTTGATGACAGATGCTCAAAATTATTAAATCAAAGGAAACAAGCCAAACAGCATGGTTACAAAACCAAGCAAAATAAATGGGGATAATCTGAACAATATAAGATGTGAATCCAGCAGATATTTGAGGAACAAAAAGAGGGAATATCTAAAAGAAAAAACTTAATGAGCTTACAACGAACAGTAAAAACAAAAACATTAGAGATCTGTATAGAGGAATAAATGAATTACAGGAGTTACCAAACTAGAACTAACTTAGCAGATAGAAATACATACAGCTGAGCTGTCAGTAACTGATCCTGGTCCTTCTGAGGTTGAAAGTGCTATTGCAAAGATGAAAAAGTATAAATCGCTCAGTGGTGATCAAATTCCAGTAGAAATAACTCAAGCAGGAGAAACATTGGTCTGAGATCCATAAGCTCATTAATTCTATTTGGAATAAGAAAGAATTACCTGATTGCTGGAAGGAGTATATTATTGTACCAATTTACAAGAACAGTGATAGGACTGACTGCAGTAATTGTTGTGGCATATCACAGTTATTAGACTTATTACAAAATTTTATCCAGTGTCTTTCTCTTAATATTAAGTTCATATGTATATGAAATTACTGGGTATCATCAGTGTGGGTTCCTAAGTAACACATCGATTATGGATCAGATTGTTTACATTCATCAGATACTGCAGGAAAATGGAGATACAAGGAGAAAGTATATCAGCTACTCATACACTTCAAGATAGACTATGGTTCACTTAGGACAGAAGTATTGTACAATATTCTCATAGTCTGGGGTACCCATGAAACTAGTTGGGCTCATTAAAATGTGTTTAAATGAAACCTGTAGTAAAATCCATGTCATGTTCCGGGGGCTTCTTGAGGGAGCATGATGCCAGATCCACAAGGCTAAGCAGGTCGATGGACAGCTGGCAGCTTAGCCCTGAGATTGTCAGGTCAATGCTCTCCCAATAACCTTGCCTTCCACCCCCATACCTGCTCTGGCCTGCTACCTGCTGGCCCATCTCCACAGACCCTTCCCCTCTCCTCTCTATTGACTTCCCATGTGGCCCCTCTCCCTTCCCTTCCTGTTCTTATATAGCTGGGTGTTTTTTCTGGCACTCAGTCTGCAGCCACCTTCTCATGCTGGTTGATCGCCCGCAGATTTCTTATACCCTGAAGATGGAGGCGATACTTTCCTCGGGAACATCGGTTAACACATATCTACACAGCGCCACATCCCAGAAGATGGCATTCTTCATAGTCACCGCCATGAAAACCTCAAATCTTACATCTGTCTGACAAGTTTCCTATCCAAAATGGTCTAAAATAAGAAGCTGCTTAACCACCATTGCTTTATAATATGCCATTAGGAAGGTCCATGAAAAACAGTTGGGACTCAAATTTAATGGGACACATCATCTGCTGGTCTATGCTGATGATGCAAATCCATTGGGAGATAACACAGATACCACAAACGCAGAAACTTTAACTGATGCTAGTAAGGAGGTTGGTCTAGAAGTAAATGCTTTGGAAACTAAGTTATGCTGCTGTCTTGTCACCAAAATACAGGGCAAAATCATGACATAAAGATAGGAAATAGATGTTTTGAAAATGTGCCACAGTTCAGAGATTTGGGGATGATGATAAATCAAAACCTGATTCAGGAGGAAATTAAGAGAAGACTGAACTTGGGTAATGTCTGCTAACCATTAAGTCAAGAACCTTTTTGCCTTCTTGGCTGCTGTCTAAAAACATAATATTTAGAATATACAAAATTACACTTTTCTTTGTGGTTCTGTATGGGTGTCAAACCTGGTATTTGACATTAAGGGAAGAAAGTGGACTGAGGGTGTTTGAGAACAGGGTGCTGAAGAGAATATTTGGACCAAAGAGAGTGAAGTGACAGGAGGTGGGAGAAAACAGCATAATAAGGAATTTCATAACTTGTATGTACTCTTCACCAAGTATAATTAGAATGATCAATTCAATGAGGAAGAGATGGGATGGGTATGTAGCATGAAAGGGGGAAGAAGAGGGATATATATATATATATATATAGGATTTAGGTTGGAAAGCCAGAACGATAGTGACTACTAGGAAGACCATGGCATAGGTCAGTGGATAATATTAAAATGAAAGGGGTGTATGGACTGGATTAATCTGGCTCAGCACATGGACCAGTGAAGGGCTCTTATGAACACAGTAATGAACCTTTGGGTCCCAATAAATGTTGGGAAATTCTTAAGTAGCTGCACAACTGGCAGCCGAACTAGCAACTCAAATTTGTGGCCCAACTTGAAAGGATGTGTGAGACCTCTTCTGCATCAGCAGTGCCACAATTTACATGAGGCTCTAAAAGCTCAATGCACTTTTGCAACAGAGAACCATAACAGATCCAAGAAGCGTTTAACGAGTTAAAAGTATGAGGATTGACATATTAATAATTCCTCCCCCACACCCAAGAATTTCAAAGGCCTTCAAGTACTTCAGTATCAGTTCTCTAGTGTGAGAAGTCCAAATGGCTTAAAGCCAGCTGGTACAACAACGTGTGACTTTGACATTAATATAAACATTTATTAAACACAGATAATTTCAGCCCCTTCTTACTTATTCAGTTACTGATAACACAACTATAATGCATTAACTGAGATTTCAAACAACTTTCTTATAAATACCTGTTCATCTGATGTTACTCTGATTTCATGTACTGCCTTCTCTATGCCTTCCTTTGTTCCAGTTATAGTAATCTTATCTGAACCGTCAGCCATATTAGGTACAGAAATCTTGGTTGCTGTTGTCTTTTCCAAGTCCTTCAGTTTGTTCCCATTCTTCCCTAGGATGAAACGATGGTGCTCCTTGGGAATGGAGATGCACATACTGGCCTATAAAAATTCGGACAAATACGAGGGCTATTCGGAAAGTAACCTCCGTTTATTTTAGACAACTAATGTAGGAGTGGGGGAGAGCTCATGCATGCTAGGTAGTGTCCTATGACTCACTGACTTGTACATCACCACACAAATGGCCACTTAGCATTTGTTCTTGTCTCTACAGAGTGAGTTATGATGTGTGCTGCAATTGATAATTCTGCCAGCTATGAAATCTGCACTATTGTAACTGTCCTTCCTCGATGCCCACCATTGCTTGACACTTATAACTTTCCTTTTCTTCATTGGCAACTCACACCACGACCTGGTCGTCACTCGTGACTTTCTTTTTCCCAACTTTACGGCACTTATAAGTTCCTTTACCTGTATCCCTTCCTTTCCTTGTGCTGCGGCTCACCTGCACCTTGTTCTTGGACGTCTCCAATGAAGTTACACTGCCCTCCTTCCCTGTCGCATGGATGTCGTGAAGTTAGGTGGGAAGGGAGGAGAATGGCGATTGCTGGTGGTAGTAGGCAAGGGTTCTTTTCATGTATGATTAAGGTGTCTTGCAAGAAGAGAAAGTCGGGAGTAGCTGGGTTCTGCTCCATAATGGTAGAGATGAATTCATATCTAGGTTCGTACGGGCCTAGCTCGGGCAAGGCAGGAAGATCCATACATACACCATTAAAAGCAACTATGCACTTTCAGTAATTATTTATTTAACTTTAGCTAACACTGAAAATAAAGGAAACTTAAATAGTTTATGCTTATGTGGACTGAACTTGCACTACTTCTAGCGAAGTGACGTAGTTTTTCTGTCTGAATCAGCTGAAAGTTTTATAAAGACGCTCTGAGGTAGAATGATCTCTCTCTGAATCCTGAGGTCCATGAACCATATAACATTGTAGATAAATCCACTCCTTCAACATGAACTGTTGGTCTGATTTGAAAACTAGGAGGTTCCCTAAATTAGTGACTTTCCAATCATGTTGCTTTGCTATGTGATTCTCACAGTTACTGACCTAACGCTATAGCTGACAGTGGCTTGATCTATTATGGTCAAGGGGGATGAGGCTCTGGCACTCCCTCTTCTAAGTTATGGCTGTACCAAACTGTCAGCTCTCAAATTCCTAAAGACCTTCCAACTCTGCTGAAACTGCCAGAATTCCAGGAAATGTACCACATGTTACTTCCTGTTCACATAGCAAAACTTGAACTATTTACACTTCTCAATGCAGATATGTGGCTATCTGCTGGATCGTTGTTTGTATATTACGTGAGCTTAAGTTAATAAAATTTCAATTAATACAAAAGGGTCCGGCAAATTATGATGAACAGTTACACTATTAGGCTGCTTTCTTCATGCTGAAAACATGAGTGCTACAGAAATTCATCATGAATTATGCACAGTTTAGGGCCAAACTGTAATGAATGAAGGAACTCTTTAAGACAATGCTGTAGAATGATCAAAGATGCGCAAAGGAATGTTCACAGTGAAAAGCCAAGTGGTGGGCCATCTGCAGTGATGATTTTGTTTAACCAAAATATTTGTGAAAGATGATACTTCACAATTTCAGAACTTTTGTGTGAATTTCCACAAATTTCTGGCACTGATCTCTATGAGATTACAGTCAGGCTAGGCTGTCACAAGATTTGTATTACATGGGTTAAGAAAATGTTCACGGGTAGTCACAAAATGCAGAGAATGTCTTTGGCTTTGGCTTTTACAGAATGATACCACAAAAATGGCGATAATTTCTCAGTCACATCATATAAGTAATAAGTGATGAAACTTGGATTTTATTTCTGAATAATGCAACCAAAAAGCAATCAAAACGGTGGATACACACATTCACACAACAGGCCAAAAAAGTTAAACACTGTCTGCAAGAATGAGATAATTGAAGGTGCCAAAACGTGGATGAACTCACAGGTGGTAGACTACTCTGATACAGGCATACAAAAACTTGTACCCCCATAAGACAAGCGCCTCGATTCTAATGGTAACTATTTTTGGAAGTAGCTTAAGTGTGCATGTATTTTTTGTACATATTTTTTTTCTTACTACTTCTTTTGTTAACATATCACTGGAAATTACTTTCTGAACAGTCCTCATTTTGAAGAAAGCAGTCTTCTGGGATTTGGCACCATATATATGGGGCGTTAACAGATGTTTCGGAGGAACGTATCACAGTCTGCTTTTACCGGTTCTCACGGTCTCTTCGCTTGCGGATTTCTTATATTTTTCTTCTACCCTGAAGATGGAGGCGATACGTTCCTCCAAAACGTCGGTTAACACCACATATACACGGTACCAAATCCCAGAAGACTGCTTCCTTCATAGTCACTGCCGTGAAAGCCTCAAATCTTAAACAGTCCTCATTTTATTCCTCAAAGTGCTAACAAAATCATGCGAGCAACATTCCTCCCACTCTTCCTCACAGTCCCACAGTTCATGAGTCAATATATTGTAGCGTGTTTTGCCACTGAAGACGCCGTTCAGATTGTTAATTGGTTTATTTACCAACCTACAGATCGTAACTAAAATTTACAAACCCTACACACTAATCAATTCATTCTGTCCTCAGAAGTCTTCACGTCTTTATAACACAGGAGCCATACCAGTGTCACTGTATTACAAACTCCCAATAACTTCTCACACTATCGGTATTCTTCACGTTCACGATTCGCTCGCTACAACTGAACTCGGCGACTGTTGCAATTCAACTGACTACGGAGGCTGCTACATTTTAACTGTCTTAGGCGGATGCTAAGTTTCAACTGACTCGGCAATTTCACAATCTGCACTGTGTCATTCCTGATCACACACTCTCTCACATCCTGCTCAGCCGGCTTTTTATACCGTTCCCTGTTGCCTGTGTAAACAGCGGTGTCACATGTTACATCACAGTAGGCAGCACTGCCACATCACCGCGCAATACGTCACAATATTATGAAGTGAATTATTTTCAAAACTGTGGTCGATACTAAGATGAAAATCCTGGACAGACTCTACCTCCTTATAATTAACTATGATTCTGAGCGACCACCACTTGTGTGTGCTCTTCTGTTGAGCTGCATCACCCTGCCAATATAACTTGGTCACATCCTCATTCTACTGTGAGCCTGAACATGAGTGCAGCAACTTCCTCTGAAACACTAGTATTCACTTTCAACACTACACTGTGTCACAACCCAGAAGAGCACAATCTAAAAGAAAATGAAATCTTACAGGAATTTTCATGCTTTGTTATGATTTCATTTTACCTGTGTTTGAAAATGTGTCAGAATCTTGCGTCTTGCATCCAATACTGCATTCTGTTTCCCAGTCACTAGGAATGTCAAAGACATGTCTTTTGATGATGCTATTTCAATATGTGCCCCAGTCTCCTTCATGATCATTGAACAAGTACGCACAGATTCGCCTTCGCCAAACTTATCACTGTGATCAAACTTGCGTTCCTCAAAAGGCACTCTGAAAACCTGTAAACATAACAGTGCAATGACATGAAATTTTGAAGTAGTAGACAAGGATGCAAATATGAGGGCTATTTGGAAAGTAACCTCCAGTGTGCTGTTAACAATGCTGTTAACAGTGCTGTTAACAAATTAAGCAATGAGAAAACATTTTTATTATATATAAAAAATACATACATACTTAAGTTACATCTCAACATATTCACCGCCAGAACTGAGGCACCTGTATCAAGGAATAAGTTTTTGTGTGCCTGTGTCAAATAAATCAGCCATGCCTTGTATTGTGAAACACTAAAAAAACTGAATAAGGCCATTAACTCTTTGACTGGCGCGGGCGTGTTTTAACGCCCGGACGATGCCAGCCGTTCCCTGGCGTTGGCGTGTTTTAACGCTTTGACAATCTCTTCCCTTCTTTGCTCCCTTGGCACTCATCAACCAAAGACATATATATGATAGTTTTTGTGCATGTTTGTAAAGAACCCTTGTAAACTTTGTGGGGGTCTATATTACTGTCAGAACCCTCTGAGAAGGAAAAGGTCAGAAAATATTTCACATTCATTCAGTTTCACCATGGCTTCTTGCAGCAAGTGTCTTCGTGTTCCTACAGACCAGCTGGAAAATGTTGTGAACGAGATTTGTTCTGATGATGATAGTGGCGATGAAATAATGATTCCTGAATTGGATGAAGTTGATAGTGACAATAATACAGTGATAGACAATGATCCACAAGACAGTAATCATGAACATTTACCTACCATGAGTGCGGTGCCTGACACGCCCATCTCATGAACGTACGGAGACATTGTACCCCCAATATTTTCATTTGCTAATAGTTTCGGGATCAAANGCGACATAAGGTTTAAAGGGCCTGCCAGGACAGGGGTGGGATTTAAATACCCTTCGCGCCAGTCAAAGAGTTAAGACCAAAAGGCATGGAATCCTGACATCCAGTGCAGTGCTCCTCCATGACAATGTGTGTCCGCATACAGCTGCTTGCACTCGAGAACTGCGGGAGCATCTCACCTTGGAATTGTTTGACCAGCCTCTAACTCCAAGAGATTACCACTTGTTTCCCTACCTGAAGAATTGGTTGAGACCACAGCACTTCAAGAGTAATCGGGAGTTGATACAAGATTTCAAAATGTGCCTGAGCTCACAAGCTGCAGACTTCTTTGGCACAGGCTTACATTAACTTATTCCTTCATATGACAAGTGCCTCAATTCAGCAGTGACTATGTAGAGAAGTAGCTTAATTATGTACATAGTTTTCCTGTACATAATAACTTTCTTTTATCATTTGGCAGCCTGGGTTTGATTCCGGGGTGACTGTGACGTGTTTATGTCACATGTTACAGGTGGTAATGACACCATCCTCGGTGAGGTTGGCTAAACCACGGCTGTGTCTTGGTGGGGACGCATCATGGACCAGGCATGCGTTGGGACACCTCCTCATGGTCCAGCCAGGCAACGACAGCCCCCTTCTGGGGCTGGTGGCTAAGTTCCCATAAAGGGCCATAGCTATATGACCAGAGTAGCGGCATAATGACTCTTGGGTTTCACTATGGTGTACCCAGGATGAATGTGGGAGAGCACTCCTATGGGGGTAGCTTCGGCTATTTGAGTTGTCTCTCTAGAGTACTGATAAGGTGCCGCAAGCCTTAGAGCTCAACACTCTTAAAACGGTTTGACCAACCCATGTGGAGGGGTGAGAATGAGGGAGCTCATAAGCTAGCCGCAGGGGCGACTTTCTCATGTAAGGTGCCCTGGTCACAACCTCATGACCAACTCGTGTCACACTCCCATTAATCATCTGGGATACCACCCTCCCCCCAAACAGTCACTGCTGGTGAGCCAGATAAAATGTGCTAGATGCTCTGCACACCTCATCCTCCTTGACTTATCATTCTAATTATACTTGGAGAAGAGTATAAGTTATGAAGCTCCTCATTATGCAGTCTTCTCCAGCCTCTTGTCACTTCATCCCTCTTTGGTCCAAATATTCTCCTCAACACACTGTTCTCAAACACCCTCAGTCCATGTTCCTCCTTCAACGTCAGACACCCAGTTTCACACCCATACAGAATCACAGGCAAAATTATAGTTATATCCTAATTTTTATGTTTTTGGACAGCAGACGAGAAGACAAAAGGTTCTGGACTGAATGGTACAAGCATTACCCGAGTTCAGTCCCCTCTTAATTTCCTCCTGAACCAGGTTCTGATTTGTTATCGTGGTTCCCAAATATCTGAACTGTGTCACATTTTCAAAACTTCCGTTTTCCTTTATGGTATCTATATTATCACCCAGTAGATTCACATCATCAGCATAAACCAACAGCTGATGTGTCCTGTTTAATTTCAGTCCCACCTGTTTCTCCTGGACCCTCCTAATGGCATATTCTAAAGCAAAGCTGAAAAGGAGTGGCGATAAAGCATCTCCTTGTCTTAGACCATTCTGAATAGGAAATTTATCAGACAACTGTTTACCTATATGGACTTTACCATATGTTTCATTTAAACACATTTTAATCAGCTTAACTAGTTTCATTGGTATCCCAAACTTTATCAGAATACTGTACAATACTTCCCTCCTAACTGAATCATAGGCTTTCTTGAAGTCTACAAATAGCTGATGTACTGTCTCACTGTACAGTTTTTCTTCAATATCTGATTAATGCAAAAGATCTGATCTGTAGCTGATCTGTTACATTGAAATGAACACTGATGATCCCAAACAATTTCATCTATGTATGGATTTAACCTTGAGAGAAGAACACTGGATAAAATTTAGTACTAAACTTGATAGGAGATATCACCCTTCTTGTGAACTGGTACAATAATAGACTCCTTCCACTGATCAGGCAATTTTCATCATGCCAAATAGAAGTAATTAGTTTATGGATCTTAGAACGTAATATTTCCCTTCCTGCTACAATAAATTCTACCAGAATTTGATCCCATATTATCAAGAAATAACCTAGCAATGAATGGTAACAGTTCAAAATAGTATGACTTGAATAAAAATTCTATGCTTAAATTACATAATCACTGAGTACTAAAAATACAGAAAAGCAGCTTTCAAGTTACCTCCTCTTTAAGTTTCCTGATATTATATTTACCACTGTACCTGTTATATATTAACTCATACAACTGACCTGATTCTGTATTTTAAAACAAAGAAGACACTACTGTATCAACATTTATTTTACTGAAGCTTTTAAGGATGCGACATGTTTTGACCCTTATATTGGGCCATCATCAGGCATACAATGTTCGGCTTTAAGCTGCTGAACTACATCCAATTATCATTCAGTTCACTAAATAAGGATCCTTATTTTGTTTTGGACTTAATTCAGATACATAAATATATATAAAACAAGTCTTGGTCAAAATTTAACTTAATGTACTTAAATGATACAGTTAAAATTACAACATAAAAATAAATAATAAAATAATAAAAAAATATATAAAATAATAAAAAGTAATAAAAACAAATGTTGATATAGTAGTGTCTTCTTTGTTTTAAAATACAGAGTGTTGTTGTGTAGACGGTATATTCTTGTATGCCTTATATCTTATTTGAGACACACAACCTGATTCCTTGAACAAATACCACCATACATGTTTGGCTGAAATATTTTTAATAGCAGTGACATAATATGTACCCATAATGGTAGAATAATGACTTATTAGTACATCAATGTCAGTGTTCTTCAGAGTATGTACTATATTCATACAATGCTAATACTGCCCTAATATACACGAAGCTGACATTGTATTTATATTGTCCGAAATAATAGGTCAGCATCAACGTTCTTTAGAGTAAGCACTATACTTTGAACAACAGTGGTAACAACTTAATAATTATGACCGTTCACTCTATCATTACGGACAGGGAAATTTTTAAAACTATTAACATGTTCACAGCTTCAAACTTCACTGCTACAAGGAAATCGCTGGCCATTAAGCGCACACGAATTTTGTTGATGACTCAAGCATGCTTGATGGCTGATAACATTTGGAATGAAGGAAAATAATTAACCGATAGATCTCTACACAGTATTGTGTTACAAGGTGGGAAGTGCAGTTCATGCATGGGAGTTTTCTTTATGACTTCTCAGCAGTATGCAGTAGTTATCAATACCATGAGCCATTTGTTACCAGTTAACAGTTAGTCAGCAGTTTGGCACGACATGGTTCACAGTACTTTAGAGCAACATGTATTTCTGTTATGACACCTATGTGAAATATGGTTCTGCTGGAAAGTGTCAGCAAAGATTTCAACGTAAATTATGTGATGAAAGAGTTCCCAGCAGACAAACAACTCAATTTTGTGAATAAACTTAGAACAATGGGACTCTTAATAGACAAAAAATAAAATATAACTGTCGAGTGCTAACTGAGAAGTGATACTTGTGATTTTTCCTTCTGGGGTTGTGTGAAGGACAGTTTACAGCAGTAACTCTTAAACAGAACTGAAAGAAAACAGTCACTGGGGTATTTCAAATATTCCTGCAGAGAACCTTCAGACAGTAAATCAAAACCTCTTCCGCCAGTGCAAGGAATGTCTATGTGTAGAGGGACACCATTTTCAACATCTCCTGTGATTGGTGAACAAAGGTAAGAACTTCCCTTCATTCCAAATGTTAAGTTCATTAAAAAGCTCCCTGTATTACTTCATCATTTTATGAACATTTTAACTACATGTTTTACAATTGTAATATGTTACTTGCTAAGTTGACCACCCTTGCAGGAGGTGAAATTTTACCCCAAACATATTAGGTGATTAATTAGTTGCATGCCATTAACCACTTTGATTGGCTTGGGGTATCTGCAGTCAAACTACCACAGCCAATGCGATCAGCATGCCATTTATCATTAGTTGAGCATGTCAGTGTTTCTATCATTTGAAGGTTATACACAGTAAGTAAAGATATAACCTGATATATTTGTATATAGTTTCCTTGTATTCTGCATTTCATCAGACATATATCCAAATCACCACAATTCTATCTTCTCAGAACAAAAGATAGCTGCTCACCTGGGTGACAACAGAGGAACCAATTCTCATTTTATTATTCCATTGCCCAAGTTGGTTTACGGTTGGGGAGGTTGAAGTGACTGACTCAGGCAACGCTGGAAAAGCGTCGTCGTATTTAAGGGTTGGGGGATCATAAGCGGCTTCCTCCTCCATCACTGCTTGCTGCATTGTAAGGATGTCCTGATTCGCGCCAAGTCGTTACAGTAACACTACATAACAACAAACACACATACTGTACCATGTACAACAATAACGCCCGAATTCGTTTCACGAAATTGACAATTTGGTCTTCCTTATGGAATGGTAAGACAGTGTTGTATGTCTGTATAAAATCCCTGACATTATACAAATATTATTCCAAAGTTACTTAATTATAAATTACAAAATATATTTCAGACATCACATTTGATTTCAGTTAAAGGCACAAATGTAACAATACTGTTTTCCAGCCGACGTGTCACGGTAGGTAGGTTGGACCCCACACTGACGTGGACTCTACTTACTGTACTGTAATCCAGATAATCCGTCCTAGTTATTTCTTAATCGCATCCCTTTCTCCAATTCGACCGTCGTACACCTGCAATTCACAGCAAAACATTTAAATACAGGAATCAGCCAAGTATTTCACAATTTAATATCCTACCAACCACACTCTTGGCCTTACCAACGTCCACAACATGGACCGGCTTCATGCGCATGCGCTATTAGTTTGTGATAATGTCAGGACCGTCAAGACCGTCAAGACTGTGTGTAAAATTCACATTCGAAAGTTGCGCAATAATGTTAATTACGAGATATGATTAACAAGTTCATTATAATGCTTTCCTATTTCTAAGACAATTGGGAAATATAAAATCCAACATTAACATGACCAACAGTGCGTCGCGGAAGGATACAGTTTTGCGACAACTGGTCGCCTTAGCGATCCGTGGTATTTGGTATACAAAGTGATCCGTGGTTGGGTCTCTGTTCAACAGGACAATTCTGGATTCTGGAGGACAGAACTCAGTCCAGAGTGGTCCAGAGCGGTCTGGAGTGAGGCGAGGCAATGACTTCTGAAGACATGGTAATTTTTACTCATTGTTCATTGTTCGTTTATTTCAGGTGTAATGAATTGTAACCCTCTCGTCAGAGAGAATGTTACATAAGGATTATGCCCGCAAAGTGTTCAGTTGGGGAAAAATTTTACTGGTCGTGATACTCAAGGGGTTCTATCCAACATGAGCTGATTGGCGGCAAACCACCAGTAGTAAAGTAACTCTGAAACGGAAGTCATGTAAAATATCTTGGTGTTATCTTCGATAAGATGACATGGAGACTGCAAATGGGAATGATTTAAGCCAAGGCCTTCAGAGCATTTATTAGAATGTACTTCCTATTCAAAAGTGAGCGCTTAATCGGAAATATTAAACTAACTGATAGGCACTGATGAGATCAGTAATGACTTGTGCTTGTCACGCCTGGGAATTAACGGCAGACACTTACCTGCTAAAATTGCAGCGCCTGCAAAACATGGTTCTGCGTACCATTGGAAATTTTCCAAGGTGCACGCAGGTCCGCAATATGCACAGTTTTCAGGCTTCCATATGTACGCGATTATATAACAAAAGTGTGCAGGCAACAAGCAGAGGACAGAAGCCATACAAAATCATGAGAATGAATATGTTCGCGGGACACGACACAATGAAGCTGGACAAAGAAAATATATGAGGCTTGAACTTGGCGGTGGTCAAGCTTACGACCGTTAGAATGACTAGGATGCCGTTGTGCCATAAGATATGTAAGATAGGCATGATCCGCTTTGCAAAGTGTGGACTGGCAGAGGACGAAGCAAAGCCTGTTGATAAGAGACAAACCCATCTCGTCAGAAAGAAAGCCACATAAGGACTATTACTGCAGGGGTTCAGTTGAAAAAAATCTGTGGCCTGGGGTCTCAAGGGGCTTGCCGCCAAGACGATCTGATTTTCGGTAAACCGCCAGTCGTAAAGTAACTTTGACTTTGATATGGAAGAGGCACAATAGTTCACTGTGGTCGCGGTGCAAGGGCCAAGAAGGCCCACCCCTTGTACATTATTCATTGATACAGAAGGGGGAGTCTATGGAGTGAGTTGTAGTCGGCCGGGAGATCACGTTAACCCGCACACCAGATCTTGATTGGATTTAGTGATGTGGACGAAACGTGCGTTGCACACAGCAGTTTTTATGGATTTCACTTTATGTAGTGTATTCACGCAAACTCCCATTTGGCGGAGATGGCGTCGGTGAAGCCTGCCGCCTGGCCGCGGGTGACCGTAGTGCTGCGCGAAACATCATAGAAGAGATAGTGTTAGTGTACACGAAGTTGGCGGACGTCATAGTACCGGGACTAAAGAAATACTGGAAACAGAAGATAGCATCGCTGAAGCCTGAATGTTACGCCAGCATGGGCAAGTATCCAGAAGGAGCTAAGGTAGTTTAACAAGTATACCAAGTACTCCGCGTCATAGCTCATGAGGTTAGTCGCTGGCTTTCCACCGAGGAGGCCCGGGTTTGGTCAAGTGGGATCTGTGGTGGACAAAGTGGTGCTGGGGTAGGTTTTCTCCGAGTACTTCGGTGTCGCTTGCCAATCTTCATTCCACCAATTGCTCCACAATCACCCTCACCTATCATCTGGGGCAGAAGTGGCCGCAGTACAAGGGACTTAGTCCCACCCCAGTAGAAATAAAAAAAAAATACCAAGTACTCTGTGAAGGCGAGTCTCCTCCGATGCCATCTGTGGGAAGTACGACTGGGTCAGTTCTCAGTAAGGCAGTCCTGCAATGATACGTGGTCTGACGATTGTCATTTATGTCCCTGTGTCAGTTGTCATGAGGCATGGTCTGCTCCCTCTCGTCCTGCCCTTTTGTTCTCTGCAAACTGCAACGCAGACTCACTCCACTGAATTCATGATGTGAACACTGAGACATAAAGATCAATGAAGGGGATACTCAGGCAATCTATTTTATCCAAAAGACTTAAGAGTCCACAACGATGTACTACAACTAAACGGATGAGACATTCCCTTTGTAAATAATGTAATGTATCTTGGCGTCACTTTTGACAGGATGACATGGAGACGCCCAATCGAGAGGACTATAGTGAGGGTCTTGCCATGTAGGTAAGGGCCTATTCTCTATTTAAAAGTGGGCATTTCCATACAAATATTAATCTTAGACTTTTCAAAGCTCCAATTAGGTCAGTTATCACTTGTGCCTGTCCCACCTGGCAGTATGCAGTGGACGCTTACCTCTTGAAATTGCAGCACCTGCAGAACAGAGTACTCCACACTACTGAAAATCTTGACAGGTGTACACCAGTCTTGAGCAGCTGAGCAACCGGTGTCTTCTTCAAGGCTCAGCTCCACAGAGTTAGTCTTTTAGTAACATATAGTGATGTAAATTGCTGAAATACCTACTATAACAACTAGATGTCTGGGTACAATTTTTATTCTCCAATAATGCCAGACAACATAATGTATGTCTGAACCATATATCAAATTTAGCAGGTATTCAGCTAAAAAGCAAGGTAAAATAACAGGCTGATAAGTCAATTAGAAATTTGAGGTCATGTAATATAATTCTTCCACATCACTTAACATGCAAGTTTGACTATCATGTTTTTTAGTCCAGTAAAACTATATCTTTTGGGAAATTACTTTTCTATTATACAGAAAATCCTGAGTCCTATGTGTATATGCAAAGCATTTTTATGAGACATACAAGTAACATACTGATACCCTCATTCACCTCCACCTTTAATGCAACTTAAAATGTTCAGAATCTGTCATTTAAAATAACATTAAAATCACATCAGCTGCTACATGTTTTGGCCTTACTTGGCCACCTTCAGGCAACTGTTCACTTTTTGAAAGCTGCAGCACTGCATTATGAGATCTTAAGTCAATATATTTCCATTCTATTGCATTACTGTCACCTTCACTAAAATGCAAGAAAACTCCCTCTGATCTGTGTTATTTTCCTTTTGAAGCACTCATATTTGTGCCCCCACTGTATGTATGTTCTCACTAGTTGCAACAGGATGCTCAAATATAACATGATATTCTGACTTCAGCAGATACATAACAATGCCACTTGGTTTGTAAGGCACATTTCTCATAGGAATTACTCCCTGCACAACACATCTCTGACCTCTGTAGAATTACAACATAACAATTTTGACCCTCTAAATTTAAATTTTACAGAACATTTTTCAGTCCTGTGTGGTAAATTTATTTCAAGTGCTGAGATTTAGAATCAAGCCTACAATTAAACATGTGCCTCTGATGGCTTACATCAACACTGGACAATTCCAAGGACCCTCTTCAACCAAGCCTCCCCCCCCTTTTCTTGTCTTCACAGGGGGTGACGATATACTGAGAAAATAATATACTTGTAATACAGAGTGTTTCACGACTTTAGGGCATAACTGCAGGAGGTGATTTCCTAGGTCTTTGTGATCAAAAAAGTTCATATAAACATGTGTCCGATCTTGGATGGTTACGAAGTTATGACCGTTTTGTCATTCCTGTACACGCCCTTGTATGAACCGCGTCTGTCATCTGGCGGGTCGCTATTTTTAGCCAGCTACAGACAGAGCGTTCTCGTTATGTCGACACTTGAGAGGTACCTAAGGCATGGTGGTTGGTATGTCCGGCGCGGTTCACAACTGAGTGGCAGCCTGTGTTGCGGCTGGTGGTGGCATTTTCGAAAATCAGCCTTAAGCACCAATAAATTCTAATTAACGGTAATTTCACGAAGTTAACTTTACAGTAATACTTTAAATGTATCATATATTATGCTGGTTTATTATTTTGTTTTGTTTATTGTCAGTAATCATTACCTTCTATTCTGAGTTTAAAACGGTCGTAACTCCGTAACTGTCCAAAATCTGACACATGTTTATATGAACTTTTTTGCTCATAAAGACCTAGGAAATCACCTCCTGCAGTTATGCCCTAAAGTCGTGAAACACCCTGTATATATACTTATATATACATACAGTATGCGCCAAAAAATAAGTACTGAAATGAAAATATGTCCTGTTCATACCAGTGTCTATTCATGTGAAGGCCCCCTGCATGACAGAACCTTCTCAAATCCTGAAGAAATGGTCCGATGACCATGTCACTGTAGCGTTCTTGAGTGATGGTAAGAGCATTGCCTTCCTCATCCTCAATGAAATAGGGGCCTAATATANGCGTGCTCATATTTGTGTCTGTGCGCTTAGCCACAGAGTAATTCTGTATTAATTGTGAGTGTGTTTTGACCAGCTACTGCCCCTCAGGCAGAGTCACCTGTATCCCTTGTTATCAATATACACATTTATTTATATGTTAGAAACGCCTGCAGTATTTGTGTATACTTGGGTTGTGTGGTTTCCCTGCTAGTTCAGGCTAGCAGATCCGTCCAGCTTGGCCCATTGTGCCGACTGTGGTTTTCCTCTCCCGAGATCCCCTGCTCGACCTTGGGGAGGCATAGTGCACCACGTGCAAGCAAGTCGTCTTATGAGCCTGTCCCTTGCCCACAGTGAACAGGAGTCCATGGGTTAACTGGGTAGGGGAACTGGGTTCCCGACCCGCATGGTCAAGGGACATACGGCTCAGTACTATGTAGTGGTTTCTGGACGATAACATCTGGCCGCTCAAAACCAAGGATGTGAGTTGTCTGGCAACCACTTCCATATGA